CGGGAGAATGGGGCGGGGTGATGGAAAGCAGGAGAATGGGGCAGGGTGATGGAAAGCGGGAGAATGGGGCGGGGTGATGGAAAGCGGGAGAATGGGGCGGGGTGATGGAAAGCGGGAGCATGGGGCGAGGTGATGGAAAGCTTGAGAATGGGGCGGGGTGATGGAAAGGGGGAGAATGGGGCGGGGTGATGGAAAGCGGGAAAATGGGGTGGGGTGATGGAAAGCGGGATAATGGGGCTGGGTGACGGAAAGCAGGAGAATGGGGCGGGGTGATGGAAAGAGGGAGAATAGTGCGGGGTGATGGAAAGCGAGAGAATGGGGCGGGGTGATGGAAAGCGGGAGAATGGGGCGATGTGATGGAAAGCTGGAGAATGGGGCGGGGTGACGGAAAGGGGGTGAATGGGGCGAGGTGATGGAAAGCGGAAGTATGGGGCGGGGTGATGGAAAGCGGGAGAATGGGGCGGGGTGATGGAAAATTTGAGAATGGGGCGGGGTGATGAAAAGCGGGAGAATGGGGCGGGGTGATGGAAAGCTGGAGAATGGGGCGGGGTGACGGAAAGGGGGTGAATGGGGCGGGGTGACGGAAAGGGGGTGAATGGGGCGGGGTGATGGAAAGCGGAAGAATGGGGCGGGGTGATGGAAATAGGGAGAATTGGGCGGGGTGATGGAAAGCGGAAGAATGGGGCAGGGTGATGGAAAGAGGGAGAATGGGGCGAGGTGATGGAAAGAGAGAGAATGGGGCGGGGTGATGGAAAGAGGGAGAATGGGGCAGGTGATGGAAAGCGGGAGAATGGGGCGGGGTGATGGAAATAGGGGGAATGGGGTGGGGTGATGGAAAGAGGGAGAATGGGGCGGGGTGATGGAAAGAGGGAGAATGGGGCGGGGTGATCAAAAGAGGGAGAATGGGGCGAGGTGATGGAAAGCGGGAGAATGGGGCAAGGTGATGGAAAGAGGAAGAAAGGGGCGGGGTGATGGAAAGCGGGAGAATGGGGCGAAGTGATGGAAAGCGGGAGAATGGGGCGGGGTGATGGAAAGCGGGAGAATGGGGCGGGGTAATGGAAAGCGGAAGAATGGGGCGGGGTGATGGAAAGCGGGAGAATGGGGTGGGGTGATGGAAAGCAGGAGCATGGGGCGAGGTTCTGGAAAGCTTGAGAATAGGGCGGGGTGATGGAAAGCGGGAGAATGGGTCGGGGTGATGGAAAGCGGGTAAATGGGGCGGGGTGATGGAAAGCGGGATAATGGGGCTGGGTGATAGAAAGCGGGAGAATGGGGCGGGGTGATGGAAAGAGGGAGAATAGGGCGGGGTGATGGAAAGCAGGAGTTTGGGGCGGGGTGATGGAAAGTGGGAGAATGGGGCGGGGTGATGGAAAGCAGGAGAATAGGGCGGGGTGATGGAAAGCTGGAGAATGGGGCGGGGTGACGGAAAGAGGGTGAATGGGGCGAGGTGATGGAAAGCGGAAGAATGCGGCGGGGTGATGGAAAGCGGGAGAATGGGGCGGGGTGATGGAAAACGAGAGAATGGGGCGGGGTGATGGAAAGCGGGAGAATGGGGCGGGGTGATGGAAAGCTGAGAATGGGGCGGGGTGATAGAAAGCGGAAAAATGGGGCGGGGTGATGGAAATAGGGAGAATGGGGCGGGGTGATGGAATGCGGAAGAATGGGGCGGGGTGATGGAAAGAGGGAGAATGGGGCGGGGTGATGGAAAGAGAGAGAAAGGGGTGGGGTGATGGAAAGAGGGAGAATGGGGCGGGGTGATGGAAAGCGGGAGAATGGGGCAGGGTGATGGAAATAGGGAGAATGGGGTGGGGTGATGGAAAAAGGGAGAATGGGGCGGGGTGATGGAAAGAGGGAGAATGGGGCAGGGTGATGCAAAGAGGGAGAATGGGGCGGGATGATGGAAAGCGGGAGAATGGGGCCGGGTGTTGGAAAGCTGGAGAATGGGGCAGGGTGATGGAAAGCGGAAGAATGGGGCGGGGTGATGGAAAGCGGGAGAATGGAGCGGGGTGATGGAAAGCGGGAGAATGGGGCGGGGTGATGGAAAGTGGGAGAATGGGGCGGGGTGATGGAAAGCGGGAGAATGACGCGGGGTGATGGAAATAGGGAGAATGGGGCGAGGTGATGGAAAGAAGGAGAACGGGGCGGGGTGATGGAAGGGGGAGAATGGGGCGGGGTGATGGAAAGAGGGAGAATGGGGCGGGGTGATGGAAAGAGGGAGAATGGGGCGGGATGATGGAAAGCGGGAGAATGGGGCGGGGTGATGGAAAGCGGGAGAATGGGGCGGGGTGATGGAAAGGGGGAGAATGGGGCAGGGTGATGGAAATAGGGAGAATGGGCCGGGCTGATGGAAATCGGGAGAATGGGGTGGGGTGATGGAAAGAGGGAGAATGGGGCGGGGTGATGAAAAGAGGGAGAATAGGACGGGGTGATGGAAAGCGGGAGAATGGGGCGGGGTGATGGAAAGCGGGAGAATGGGGCGGGGTGATGGAAAGCGGGAGAATGGGCCGGGGTGATGGAAAGCGGGAGAATGGAGCGGGGTGATGGAAAGCGGGAGAATGGGGCAGGGTGGTGGAAAGCTGGAGAATAGGGCGGGGTGATGGAAAGCGGGAGAATGGAGCGGGGTGATGGAAAGCGGGAGAATGGGGCGGGGTGATGGAAAGCGGGAGAATGGGGCGGGGTGATGGAAAGCGGGAGAATGGGGCAGGGTGATGGAAAGCGGGAGAATGGGGCAGGGTGGTGGAAAGCGGGAGAATGGGGCGGGGTGATGGACAGCGGGAGAATGGGGCGGAGTGATGGAAAGCGGGAGAATGGGGCGGGGTGATGGAACGCGGGAGAAAGGGGCGGGGTGATGGAAAGTGGGAGAATGGGGCGGGGTGATGGAAAGCGGGAGAATGGGGCGGGGTGATGGAAAGAGGGAGAATGGGGCGGGGTGATGGAAAGAGGGAGAACGGGGCAGGGTGATGGAAAGCGGGAGAATGGGGCGCGGTGATGGAAAGCGGGAGAACGGGGCGGAGTGATGGAAAGCGGGAGAATGGGGCGGGGTGATGGAAAGCAGGAGAATGGGGCGGGGTGATGGAAAGCGGGAGAATGGGGCGGGGTGATGGAAAGAGGAAGAATATGGCGAGGTGATGGAAAGCGGGAGAATGGGGCGGGGTGATGGAAAGCGGGAGAATGGGGCGGGGTGGTGGAAAGCAGGAGAATGGGGTGGGGTGATGGAAAACGGAAGAATGGGCCGGGGTGATGGAAAGCGGGAGAATGGAGCGGGGTGATGGAAAGCGGGAGAATGGGGCAGGGTGGTGGAAAGCGGGAGAATGGGGCGGGGTGATGGAAAGCGGGAGACTGGAGCGGGGTGATGGAAAGCGGGAGAATGGGGCGGGGTGATGGAAAGCGGGAGAATGGGGCAGGGTGATGGAAAGCGGGAGAATGGGGCAGGGTGGTGGAAAGCGGGAGAATAGGGCGGGGTGATGGAAAGCGGGAGAATGGGGCGGAGTGATGGAAAGCGGGAGAATGGGGCGGGGTGATGGAACGCGGGAGAAAGGGGCGGGGCGATAGAAAGTGGGAGAACGGGGCGGGGTGATGGAAAGCGGGAGAATGGGGCGGGGTGATGGAAAGAGGGAGAATGGGGCGGGGTGATGGAAAGAGGGAGAATGGGGCAGGGTGATGGAAAGCGGGAGAATGGGGCGGGGTGATGGAAAGTGGGAGAATGGGGCGGGGTGATGGAAAGCGGGAGAGTGGGGAGGGGTGATGGAAAGCTGGAGAATGTGGCGGGGTGATGGAAATAGGGAGAATGGGGCGAGGTTATGGAAAGAGGGAGAACGGGGCGGGGTGATGGAAAGAGGGAGAATGGGGCGGGGTGATGGAAAGAGGGAGAATGGGGCGGGGTGATGGAAAGAGGGAGAATGGGGCGGGTTGATGGAAAGCGGGAGAATGGGGCGGGGTGATGGAAAGTGGGAGAATGGGGCGGGGTGATGGAAAGGGGGAGAATGGGGCAGGGTGATGAAAATAGGGAGAATGGGCCGGGCTGATGGAAATCGGGAGAATGGGGTGGGGTAATGGAAAGAGGGAGAATGGGGCGGGGTGATGAAAAGAGGGAGAATGGGACGGGGTGATGGAAAGCGGGAGAATGGGGCGGGGTGATGGAAAGCGGGAGAATGGGCCGGGGTGATGGAAAGCAGGAGAATGGGGCGAGGTGATGGAAAGCAGGAGAATGGGCCGGGGTGATGGAAAGCGGGAGAATGGAGCTGAAATGGTGAGATGAAAGTACCTCTTTCATCAAATGGTGAGATGAAAGTACCTCTTTTATCAGATGGTGAGATCAAAGTAACTCTTTCATCAGATGGTGAGATGAAAGCAACTCTTTCATCAGATGGTGAGATGAAAGTACCTCTTTCATCAGATGGTGAGATGAAAGTTATTCTTTCATCAGATGGTGAGATGAAAGTACCTCTTTCATCAGATGGTGAGATGAAAGTAACTCTTTCATCAGATGGTGAGATGAAAGCAACTCTTTCATCAGATGGTGAGATGAAAGCAACTCTTTCTTCAGATGGTGAGATGAAAGTACCTCTTTCATCAGATGGTGAGATGAAAGCAACTCTTTCATCAGATGGTGAGATGAAAGCAACTCTTTCATCAGATGGTGAGATGAAAGTAACTCTTTCATCAGATGGTGAGATGAAAGCAACTCTTTCATCAGATGGTGAGATGAAAGTACCTCTTTTATCAGATGGTGAGATCAAAGTAACTCTTTCATCAGATGGTGAGATGAAAGCAACTCTTTCATCAGATGGTGAGTTGAAAGTACCTCTTTCATCAAATGGTGAGATGAAAGTAATTCTTTCATCAGATGGTGAGATGAAAGTACCTCTTTCATCAGATGGTGAGATGAAAGTAACTCTTTCATCAGATGGTGAGATGAAAGTAACTCTTTCATCAGATGGTGAGATGAAAGTAACTCTTTCATCAGATGGTGAGATGAAGGTTGTTATTCATCAGATGGTGAGATGAAAGTACCTCTTTCATCAGATGGTGAGATGAAAGTAACTCTTTCATCAGATGGTGAGATGAAAGTAACTCTTTCATCAGATGGTGAGATGAAAGCAACTCTTTCATCAGATGGTGAGATGAAAGTACCTCTTTTATCAGATGGTGAGATCAAAGTAACTCTTTCATCAGATGGTGAGATGAAAGCAACTCTTTCATCAGATGGTGAGATGAAAGTACCTCTTTCATCAGATGGTGAGATGAAAGTAACTCTTTCATCAGATGGTGAGATGAAAATACCTCTTTCATCAAATGGTGAGATGAAAGCAACTCTTTCATCAGATGGTGAGATGAAAGTAACTCTTTCATCAGATGGTGAGATGAAAGCAACTCTTTCATCAGATGGTGAGATGAAAGTACCTCTTTTATCAGATGGTGAGATCAAAGTAACTCTTTCATCAGATGGTGAGATGAAAGCAACTCTTTCATCAGATGGTGAGATGAAAGTACCTCTTTCATCAGATGGTGAGATGAAAGTAATTCTTTCATCAGATGGTGAGATGAAAGTACCTCTTTCATCAGATGGTGAGATGAAAGTAACTCTTTCATCAGATGGTGAGATGAAAGCAACTCTTTCATCAGATGGTGAGATGAAAGCAACTCTTTCATCAGATGGTGAGATGAAAGTAACTCTTTCATCAGATGGTGAGATGAAAGCAACTCTTTCATCAGATGGTGAGATGAAAGTACCTCTTTTATCAGATGGTGAGATCAAAGTAACTCTTTCATCAGATGGTGAGATGAAAGCAACTCTTTCATCAGATGGTGAGATGAAAGTACCTCTTTGATCAGATGGTGAGATGAAAGTAATTCTTTCATCAGATGGTGAGATGAAAGTACCTCTTTCATCAGATGGTGAGATGAAAGTACCTCTTTCATCAAATGGTGAGATGAAAGCAACTCTTTTATCAGATGGTGAGATGAAAGCAACTCTTTCTTCAGATGGTGAGATGAAAGTACCTCTTTCATCAGATGGTGAGATGAAAGTAACTCTTTCATCAGATGGTGAGATGAAAGTAACTCTTTCATCAGATGGTGAGATGAAAGTACCTCTTTCATCAGATGGTGAGATCAAAGTAACTCTTTCATCAGATGGTGAGATGAAAGCAACTCTTTCATCAGATGGTGAGATGAAAGTACCTCTTTCATCAGATGGTGATATGAAAGTAATTCTTTCATCAGATGGTGAGATGAAAGTACCTCTTTCATCAGATGGTGAGATGAAAGCAACTCTTTCATCAGATGGTGAGATGAAAGCAACTCTTTCTTCGGATGGTGAGATGAAAGTAACTCTTTCATCAGATGGTGAGATGAAAGCAACTCTTTCATCAGATGGTGAGATGAAAGTAACTCTTTCATCACATGGTGAGATGAAAGTACCTCTTTCATCAGATGGTGAGATGAAAGCAACTCTTTCATCAGATGGTGAGATGAAAGTACCTCTTTCATCAGATGGTGATATGGAAGTAATTCTTTCATCAGATGGTGAGATGAAAGTACCTCTTTCATCAGATGGTGAGATGAAAGCAACTCTTTCATCAGATGGTGAGATGAAAGTACCTCTTTCATCAGATGGTGATATGAAAGTAATTCTTTCATCAGATGGTGAGACGAAAGTACCTCTTTCATCAGATGGTGAGATGAAAGCAACTCTTTCATCAGATGGTGAGATGAAAGCAACTCTTTCTTCAGATGGTGAGATGAAAGTAACTCTTTCATCAGATGGTGAGATGAAAGTACCTCTTTCATCAGATGGTGAGATGAAAGTACCTCTTTCATCAAATGGTGAGATGAAAGTACCTCTTTCATCAGATGGTGAGATGAAAGTACCTCTTTTATCAGATGGTGAGATCAAAGTAACTCTTTCATCAGATGGTGAGATGAAAGTAACTCTTTCATCAGATGGTGAGATGAAAGTAACTCTTTCATCAGATGGTGAGATCAAAGTAACTCTTTCCATCACCCCACCGCATTCTCCAGCTTTCCATCACTTCGCCCCATTCTCTCGATTTCCATCACCCCGCCCCATTCTCCCGCTTTCCATCACCCCGCCCCATTCTCCCTCTATCCATCACCCCGCCCAATTCTCCCACTTTGCATCACCCCGTCCCATTCTCCTGTTTTCCATCACCCCGCCCCATTCTCTCGCTTTCTATCACCCCGCCTTATTCTCCCGCTTTCCATCACCCCGCACCATTCTCCCGCTTTCCATCACCCCGCCCCATTCTCACTATCTCCATCACCCCTCCCCATTCTCCCTCTTTCCATCACCCCGCCCCATTCTCATGCTTTCTATCACCCCTCCCCATTCTCCCTCTTTCCATCACCCCGCCCCATTCTCCCGCCTTCCATCACCCCTCCCCATTCTCCCTCTTTCCATCACCCCGCCCCACTCTCCCGCTTTCCATCACCCCGCCCCAATCTCCCGCTTTCCATCACCCTGCCCCAATCTTCCGCTTTCCATCACCCCGCCCCATTCTCCCTCTTTCCATCACCCCGCCCCATTCTCCCGCTTTCCATCACCCCGCCCCATTCTCCCGTTTTCCATCACCCCGCCCCATTCTCCCGCTTTCCATCACCCCGCCCCATTCGCCCGCTTTCCATCACCCGGCCCCATTCTCCCACTTTCCATCACCCGGCACCATTCTCCCGCTTTCCATCACCCCGCCCCATTCTCACTATCTCCATCACCCCTCCCCATTCTCCCTCTTTCCATCACCCCGCCCCATTCTCATGCTTTCTATCACCCCTCCCCATTCTCCCTCTTTCCATCACCCCGCCCCATTCTCCCGCCTTCCATCACCCCTCCCCATTCTCCCTCTTTCCATCACCCCGCCCCATTTTCCCGCTTTCCATCACCCCGCCCCAATCTCCCGCTTTCCATCACCCTGCCCCAATCTTCCGCTTTCCATCACCCCGCCCCATTCTCCCTCTTTCCATCACCCCGCCCCATTCTCCCGCTTTCCATCACCCCGCCCCATTCTCCCGTTTTCCATCACCCCGCCCCATTCTCCCGCTTTCCATCACCCCGCCCCATTCTCCCGCTTTCCATCACCCTGCCCCATTCTCCCGCTTTCCATCAGCCCGCCCCACTTCTCCCGCTTTCCATCAACCCGCCCCTTTCTCCCGCTTTCCATCTCCCCGCCCCATTCTCCCGCTTTCCATCACCCAGCCCCATTCTCCTGCTTTCCATCACCCCGCCCCATTTTCCCGCTTTCCATCTCCCTGCCCTATTCTCCCGCTTTCCATCACCCTGCCCCAATCTTCCGCTTTCCATCACCCCGCCCCATTCTCCCGCTTTCCATCACCCCGCCCCATTCTCCCGCTTTCTATCACCCCGCCCCGTTCTCCCGCTTTCCATCACCCCGCCCCATTCTCCCTCCTTCCATCACCCCGCCCCATTCTCCCGCTTTCCATCATCCCGCCCCATTCTCCCTCCTTCCATCACCCCGCCCCATTCTCCCTCCTTCCATCACCCCGCCCCATTCTCCCGCTTTCCATCACCCCGCCCCCTTCTCCCGCTTTCCATCACCCCGCCCCATTTTCCCGCTTTCCATCATCCTGCCCTGATCTCCCGCTTTCCATCACCCTGCCCCAATCTTCCGCTTTCCATCACCCCGCCCCATTCTCCCTCCTTCCATCACCCCGCCCCATTATCCCACTTTCCATCACCCCGCCCCATTCTTCCGCTTCCCATCACCCCGCCCCATTCTCCCGCTTTCCATCACCCCGCCCCATTCTCCCGCTTTCCATCACCCCGCCCCATTCTCCCTCCTTCCATCACCCCGCCTCATTCTCCCGCTTTCCATCACCCCGCCCCATTCTCCCGCTTTCCATAACCCCGCAACATTCTCCCGCTTTCCATCACCCAGCCACATTCTCCCACTTTCCATCAGCCCGCCCCATTCTCCCTCCTTCCATCACCTCCCCCATTTTCCCGCTTTCTATCAGCCCGCCCCATTCCACCGCTTTCCATCACCCCGCCCCATTCTCCAGCTTTCCATAACCCGCCCCATTCTCCCGCTTTCCATCACCCCGCCCCATTCTCCCGCTTTCCATAACCCGCCCCATTCTCCCGCTTTCCATCACCCCACCCCATTCTCCCGCTTTCCATCACCCCACCCCATATTCCCGCTTTCCATCACCCCGCCCCATTCTCCAGCTTTCCATCAGCCGCCCCATTCTCCCGCTTTCCATCACCCCGCCTCATTCTCCCGATTCCCATCAACCCGCCCCATTCTCCCGCTTTCTATCACCCGTCCCCATTCTCCCTCCTTCCATCACCCCGCCCCATTCTCCCGCTTTCCATCACCCCGCCCCATTCTACCACTTTCCATCACCTCGCCCCTTTCTCCCGCTTTCCATCACCCTGCCCCATTCTCCCGCTTTCCATCAACCTGCCCCATTCTCCCGCTTTCCATCACCCTGCCCGATTCTCCCTCCTTCCATCACCCCACCCCATTCTCCCGCTTTCCATCACCCCGCCTTATTCTCCTGCTCTCCATCACCCCGCACCATTCGCCCGCTTTCCATCACCCCTCCCCATTCTCCTGCTTTCCATCACCCCGCCCCATTCTCCCTCCTTCCATGACCCCGCCCCATTCTCCCTCCATCCATCACACCGCCCTATTCTCCCAATTTCCTCCACCCCACCCCATTCTCCCGCTTTCCATCACCCCGCCTTATTCTCCCGCTTTCCATCACCTCGCCCCATTCTCCCGCTTTCCATCACCCCGCCCCATTCTCCGCTTTCCATCACACGCCCATTCTCCCGCTTTCCATCACCCCACACCATTCTCCCGCTTTTCATTACCCCGCCCCATTTTCCCGCTTCCCATCATCTCGCCCCATTCTCCCGCTTTCCATCACCCTGCCCCATTCTCCCTCCTTCCATCACCCCACCCCATTCTCCCGCTTTCCATCACCTCGCCCCATTCTCCCGCTTTCCATCACCCTGCCCCATTCTCCCGCTTTCCATCACCCCGCCCCATTCTCCTGCTTTCCATCACCCGCCCCATTCTCCCGCTTTCCATCACCCCAAGCCATTCTCCCGCTTTCCATCACCCCGCCCTATTCTCCCGCTTTCCATCACCCCGCCCCATTCTCCCGCTTTCCATCACCCCACCTCATTCTCCCGCTTTCCATCACCCCGCCCCATTCTCCCGCTTTCCTTCATCCCTCCCCATTCTCCCGCTTTCCATCACCCCGCCCCATTCTCCCGCTTTCAATCACCCCACCCCATTCTCCCGCTTTCCATCACTCCGCCTCATTCTCCCTCCTTCCATCACCCCGCCCCATTCTCCCACTTTCAATCACCCCGACCCATTCTCCCACTTTCCATCACCCTGCCCAATTCTCTCGATTTCCGTCACCCTGCCCCATTCTCCCTCTTTCTGTCACCCCGCCCCATTCTCCCGCTTTCCATCATCCAGCCCCATTCCCCCGCTTTCCATCACCCCGCCCTATTCTCCCTCTTTCCATCACCCCGCCCCATTCTCCCTCCTTCCATCACCCCGCCCCATTCTACCGCTTTCCATCACCCCGCCACATTCTTCCACTTTCCATCACCCCGCCCCATTCTCCCTCATTCCATCACCCCGCCCCATTCCCCCGGTTTACATCACCCTGCCCCATTCTCCCGCATTCCATCACCCCGCCCCATTCTCCCTCCTTCCATCACCCCGCCCCATTCTCCCGCTTTCCATCACCCCACCCCATTCTTCCGCATTCCATCACCCCGCCCCATTCTCCCGCTTTCCATCACCTCGCCCCATTCTCCCGCATTCCATCACCCTGCCCCATTCTCCCGGTTTCCATCACCCCGCCCCCTTCTCCCTCCTTCCATCACCCTGCCCCATTCTCCCTCCTTCCATCACCCCGCCCCTTTCTCCCGCTTTCCATCAGCCCGCCTCATTCTCCCGCTTTCCATCACCCCGCCCCATTCTCCCGCGTTCCATCTCCCCGCCCCATTCTCCCGGTTTCCATAACCCCGCCCCCTTCTCCCTCCTTCCATCACCCCGCCCCATTCTCCCTCCTTCCATCATCCCGCCCCCTTCTCCCTCCTTCCATCACCCCGCCCCATTCTCCCTCCTTCCATCATCACGAGGTTAGCGGATAAACCATCCACCAATAGAACATTCCCAAGTCCAACAAGTCCCCCATTGGCTCCCATCACCTTGGCATTCCCAACACCAATCACAGGGAGCAAAGCACCTGACGCGGCAGCCACAAACTTGATCTTCCCAGGGGGTTTCACCTCATCGAGCAAATCTGCCCGCGGAGTCATGTGACTCGTGCAACCAGAATCGATCACCCAGTGAGTTAGGGGGTGCATTACAACCTTCCCAACCGAACCCACATCATCCTCACTCCCTTTCACTTCCTCAACCATGAGGAACAGCCCAGGGTCAGCTTTACCTTGTGCACCATCACCTTGTGCACCTGAACCTTGCACAGCACCACCTCGTGCGCGTTCACCACTTGGCGGCTTCATGCCTGGAGGTGCCCATCCCTCAGGCCGGCTGAAACACTTGAACCACGGGTGTCCAGCCTTCTTGCAGTACCAGCACGCACCCTCCATTCGGGTGCTCCCCCTGCCACCAGAGCTCCCATGCCCCTCATTGTAGTCACCTCGGCCTCTCCCTCTGCCAAAGCCTCTCCCACGGCCTCGGCCTCTCCCTCCCCCTCTCCCTCTGCTGCCTCCTGCAGCTCCATACCCCTCAGCAGTTTTGTTGGCAGCACCACCTCCAGTGTGGCGCCTGCGGAAGTCCTCCTGCAGGATCTGCTGCCGTAGCCACTCAGGCGTCCATTTGTCCTGCTGAACGTTGAGGGTGGGGATGAGGTTGTCCCACGAGTTGTCGAGCACCGAGATGATCTTGGTGCACTGTTGCATCTGCGACACTTCGCTGCCCGCCGCTGCCATCCTCGCATAGGTGTCCTTGATCTTGTCAAGGACCGGCTTCACATCATCTCCCGGCCGCATGGAGAGGGCAGCCAACTCCTTCTCCAATACGATCACCATCGGCAGCGTGTTGGGTTGAACCACGTTGCGAAGCAGCTTCCACGCCTTCGGTCCCGAGTCATCGAGCTCCACCAGGTCCTTGATATGCTGGAACATATCATTGTTGACCGATTGAAGGATTAGGTCGTACAGCACCGCGCTCCTCTCAATCCATTTGTCGCAGGCATCACCTTCCTCCGGCATCTTCTCTTCTCCCATCGCAAGTTTTAGCAGCTTGTAGCGCTTGAAAGCGCTCCGCATCCGCCCGCTCCATTCCTCATAGTTGGAGCCGTCCAAAGCCTCGATCTTGGACGGTGGCGGTTCACTCTTCTTCTCAGCTCCTTCTCCACTCATCTCCTCTGCTCCCAATCAGAGGTTTCAGCTCCCCCTTTGCTGTCCACACCGAAGTCTCACACAATTTTCCACAGGTGTCGGCGCCAACGAAATTTCGGCAGAGTTTCCCCTTAACGGAAGTCACATCCAACCTCTAGAACTCCACTTAGACACGCCCACAGGCCATGGTGGGTCTAGGAGGGTCTTTCACACTTCAGTAGACTCTCCACAAAGTCCTTAATCAGCTCTGATACCACTTGTTAGAGACTAAGGATCGAGTCTATGAAGATTAGGTGCTCAAATTTATCAAAATCGTTGGTCTCAATTTCTGGACAGAAACGTCGACTTCACAAGAAACGTCGTCGACGGAAGGTGCACAGTTAGAATCCCACGAAATTCGAATATGTTGTAGCCCTAGACCGTGGCTACATATACCAATTCGAATCGTATCAAAATATGATGCATATCTCGAGTTATGCGTTTCGGCGCACTAGGGGGTATGCTGCCACAGGAAATTTAACTCAATCACAATTAACTCACAAGTTCCACAAACGTGCACACAAGAGAGTTAGGGTAGCACTAAACCAGGTAGGAGGGAAGAGGAGGACGAGAGGGAAGGTCCCAAGAGATTCCCCAACCAAGGAAACCCCATGCCACATAATTCCCTTCCCCATAGGCAACCCCACTTTCACATTTGTCACTTTCCCAACTCATGCCATCCACCTCAACCCACTTGGCCACACTTGCCAACCTGGTTTGGCTTCACCCAACCACATGGCAGCATTCTACAGTGATGGGTTCGAATTCCCAACCCCCAAAAGTCTGTACCCCATATTGAGTCAACCCCACAACTTCCCATAGTCGCCACAACCGAAGTACAGAAAGCATACGAACCCCAACGTTCGTAACTTTCTTGACATTGCTCCGATCGCAACGATTCTTGGCTCGTCGGAAAGATCTTGAGTAGAGCTGTCACTTCAGATATCTGCCCAAGCCAAACATCATCCACACACACTCGAAAAATCCAAACCGCGCAAAACACAAATTCTTGCACACGTTCACACCACGCTTGCAACACACGAAGACTTGATGGAGGCAGACAGACGTGAATGCATATGTTTGCATCACAACAACCCCGCCCCATTCTTCCGCTTTTCATCACCCCGCCCCATTCTCCCGCTTTCCATCACCCCGCCCCATTCTCCCAGCTTTCCATCACCCCGCCCCATTCTCCCGCTTTCGATCACCCCGCCCCATTCTCCCGCTTTCCATCACTCCGCCCCATTCTCCCGCTTTCCATCACCCCGCCCTATTCTCAAGCTTTCCATCACCCCGCCCCATTCTCCCGCTTTCCATCACCCCGCCCCATTCTCCCGCTTTCCATCACCCCGCCCCATTCTCCCGCTTTCCATCACCCCGCACCATTCTCCCGCTTTCCATCACCCCGCCCCATTCTCCCGCTTTCCATCACCCCGCCCCATTCTCCCGCTTTCCATCACCCCGCCC